AATTGGCCAGGCACAGTGGCTCTCACCTGTAATCCCAGCACTTTGGGAGGCCAAGGCGGGCTGATCACAAGGTCAGGAGGTCAAGACCATCCTGGCCAATACAGTGAAACTCCACCTCTACTAAAAATACAAAAATTAGCCAGGCATGGTGCCATGTGCCTGTAATCCTAACTACTCAGGACACTGAGGCAGGAGATGGAGGTTGCGGTGAGCTGAGATCGTGCCACTGCACTCCAGCCTGGCAACAGACTGAGACTCTGTCTCAAAATAAAACAAAACAAAACAAAGAAATAAAATAAAGAAGGATGAGATGATGTTGAAGATGAAACCCACAGTAGCAGACCATCCACATCAATTTATGAGAAAAAGATTTTGTGTCCTAACTGAAGTGGATTGAGAACAGCAGAAATAATAACCAACACCACAGACCTCTCAGTTGGTTCTGCTTACATAATTCGGTCTGAAAAATTAAAGTTGAGCACCATGTGTGGTGGCTCACACCTGTATTCCCAGCACTTTGGGAGGCCAAGGCAGGTGGATCACAAGGTCAGGAGTTCAAGACCAGCCTGGCCAAGAAGGTGAAACCTTGTCTCTACTAAAAATATAAAAATTAGCTGGGTGTGGTGGTGGGTGCCTGCAATCCCAGCTACTTGGGAGGCTGAGGCAGAGAACTGCTCAAACCCAGGAGGCAGAGGTTGCAGTGAGCCAAGATTGCACCACTGCATTCTAGCCTGGGCAACAGAGTGAGACTCTGTCTCAAAGAAAAAAAAAAAAAATTAAAGTTAAGCAAATATTCTACTTGGTAAGTGACAAAAACCATCATGCTCAGATTAGCTAAAGTGTTTTCAATGGGTATTTTAAACAAGTGGGATAAAGATCCTGAAGTATTTCTTTGAAGAATTTTAACAGGAGGTGAAACATGGCTTTACCAGAACAATCCTGAAGACAATGCACAATCAAAGCAATGGCTACCAAGAAGTGGATGTGATCCTGTCAAAGCAAAACTGGATCAGTCAAGAGCAAAGGTCATGTCATTTGTTATTTTCAATGTTCAAGGCATTTTGTTTATTGACTTTCTGGAGAGCAAAAGCACAATAACATGTGCTTATTATGAGAATGTTTTGAGAAAGCTAGCAAAAAATTTAGCAGAAAATGCCTGGGAAAGCTTCATCAGAGAGTCATTCTCCACTATGACAATGTTCCTGCTCATTCCTCTCATCAAACAAGGGCAATTTTGCAAGAGTTTTGATGGGAAATTATTAGGCATCCACCTTACAGTGCTGATTTGGCTCCTTCTGACTTTTGTTTTTCTAATCTTAAAAAAAAATCTTTAAAAGGCACCCTATTTTTCTTAGATTAATAATGTATAAAAGAGTTTGTCTCATCTTTATAAGCAGCCTGCCCTGAGCTCTCTCTCAGGGTTAAAAAAAAATGTATAAAAGGGCTGGGCATGGTGACTTATGCCTGTAATCTCAGCACTTTGGGAGGCCCAGGCAGGAGGATCACTTGAGTCCAGGAGTTGGAGACCAGCCTGGGAACCAGAGAGAGATCTCCACCTCTACAAAAAAAATTTTTTTTAAAGAATTAGCTGGGCAGCCAGGTGCAGTGGCTCACGCCTGTAATCTCAGCACTTTGGGAGGCTGAGGCAGGCAGATCATGAGGTCAGGAGTTCGAGACCAGCCTGGCCAACATGACGAAACCCTGTCTCTACTAAAAATACAAAAATTAGCTGGGCATGTTGGCATGTGCCTGTAATCCCAGCTACTTGGGAGGCTGAGCTAGAAGAATCACTTGAACCCGGGAGGCTGAGCTAGAAGAATCACTTGAACCCAGGAGGCGGAGGTTGCAGTGAGCCAAGATTGCACCATTGCACTCTAGCCTGGGTAACAAAAGTGAAACTCCGTCTCAGAAAAA